AACGTAATAATAATTAACTTACACATGGCATTGATTTAAAAATATTTTCGACTTACTTTAATTGAAAATTGGCATTGAACACATTTTCAGTCTTTTGGCTCAAATAACACAAAAACTTTAAATATGCAGCTAATGTTTTATCTATACTAATATTATAAAGCTGAAGAGTTTGTTTGTTTGTTTGTTTGAACGCGCTAATCTCAGCAACTACTGGTCCCATTTGAAAAATTATTTCAGTGTTAGATAGCCCATTTATCGAGGAAGGCTATAGGCTATATATCATCACGCTAAGAGCAATAGGAGCGGAGCACCAATGAAGAATGTTTCAAAAACGGAGAAAATTTATTACTATTGAGAGACGCAGACGAAGTTGCGCGGGTCAGCTAGTTATTGATAAAATGGAACAACGTAATCTATACGAGTACATCATCATCATCATCAACAGCCTTTAATAGTCCACTGCTGGACATAAGCCTCTCCTTAGAAAGGAGGTTTTATACGAGTACATATAACATTAATTGCTCTCACTAATTGACTGATTCATCAAGGCAGAGCCGAAACCGTTTGGGCTACAAAACTTGAAATTTTGGTAAAGGATACTTTTTATATTATAAGCACCTACTAGGAAAGGATTTGCGGAAATTTCAACCGGGAACGGTTGTCAAACGTCGGTTGTTCAAGGAATAACATCATTTTTTAAATTAGAAACTCGAAATAGGAAATCATCACAGCCACGGGCATGAGCTAGTTGTTAATAAAAAAGTAATAACGTAAATGGAAATACACAGGACTTACGACCTTTTGAATGGCAACGTGAACTTATAAAAACAATTAGTTTGGCTTGAGGGGCTAACAGGAAATTATGTAATGTATGACCATTGTTATCAGTGGTTTATAAAAATAAATAAATAAATTGTATTAAAAAATATTTAGAGGACTCGAATGTTCATGAAAATAGGCCAGTTCGAGGTTCAGCTGTGCGACCGTGACCTGCTCGGAACAATCATTTAACGCCACCACCTGTTGAGGTTAGTAGTCCACTGTCCTGTCCTTAAATAGTCCACAGCTGGACATAGGCCTCTCTTTAGAAAGGTCTTATCCTACTATAAAACGCTGGCCAGACGGGTCGGTATACGGGTTGTGTCAAGTTTTACTTTGTTTAGAGTACTGTCAGTTGTCCTGCATAATTTGCTTCCTCGACTATTAAGACACCACGGGATGAAAAGAGTTGGTGACACTCCGTATTCCTTGTCCGTCACAACACTGTAACTTACCTACCAAAGTTTTCCGTGTAACCAATATCTCTATCCTTTCTTTCTTGGCCACCTTTCACTTTCATCACACTCTAATTCTTTAATTCTCAGAGTGGCCGAAGAGGAAAAAAAAATAGGAATTAATAAGGACAATTAGGAAAAAGTACAGACAATTATTACGTCTCTATCTACTCTTTGAGACATAAAAGCTTGAGTGAATATATGCGTATGCGTTATCCGTGTGGTGACGGATTAAGAATATAGTGTCACAGTGTTTTCTCATTATGTACGTGAACTGTATTGTTCTTTTTTGAAAAAATAAATGTCTTTGAACTGAAACTGATAAAACATAATCGATTTATCATCAGATAATTGACAATTAATGAATGAATTTTCCGTTCATTCCGTTTCTCACTGTCATTACGGTTTCGTTCGCTCTAAATTAAGTTATTATTTTCTAGTGAATTCTAATTATCCTCTATCTTATATATTAGCTAATAATTTATATCGTCCATGTGGTGACGGATTAAGAATAAGGTTTGACAACACCCATATTCATCTCGTGGGTGTCGTGAGAGCAAACTAAGGGAGCAAACTCTGCAGGATCACAGCACTGCACGTCTGTCCAGCGGTGGACTTACAGGCCGGTAATGTAATGCGTATGTGACACACATTTTTTAAACAAGTTGCTGTTATGCTATGATGAACTTATGAACATTCTACGAGTATAACGAACTTATGAACAGGCCACGAGTATATAAAATTTTATATCTATACTTTTGACAGTTTCAAAGATGCCACTATCAGAAGCCACCTTTTGGTGCAGAAAGGCCGTGGTGAGCTTAAAATAGTCCACCATTAGTCGTTCGAATATTGTATGTTGTGTTTTGTGGGGTTTGTCGCTGTACTAAAACATTCAAGGCAAGACCAAAAACTGTTAAAAGAGGAAAAAAAAAATACCCTTGTAGCAACTTAAGTTAAAACCAAACAAATTTACATCTCTTATCAATATGGACTTCTTCAAGTTCAAGATTTGTTATGTATATGTATGGCAATTAAAAAGACAAGATAACTGTTTTTAGGTTAATGTCACCGATAAGACAAAATATACACAAATTTAAACCATAAAAATCTGTTGATAAAGGAAATTTTGCATCGAAAAATATCACGACTTTGAATGACTAAGTTGGAATGCTCAAACAAATACTAAAATAAATAATTTTTATTAAGTCTAAGAAAATTCGATTTAACATTTTTAAAAACCTTTAAGTTAGATATTTCGACGCTCTAGGAACTCCTTTGTACTTCAGAACTAAATAATCTTCTCTTCAAGTTGTGACGGTCTACGAGTACACAACTGTGACATACACAATGCTTAAAGAAAAACTCGGGTCGCTTAACGAGTTATAGAAATGACTATGTTTGACTACGCAACACAATTCGATACGAATATATCGGACATGATTAAGTATATCGCAGAATAATGTATCAAATCGATTTCCAGCTTAAAACAACGTAACTGCATTGCCATTCATGAACATGATAATATTTATTGATAAGAAGCGGTCTAAAATTTATATATATTATATTTTTCAGATTACCTTAAAGGTGATAAAATTACGCACAAGAAAATTTTACAAACACAACAGTTGGAGCCAAAACCTCATTTCTTAAGAGAGGCCTATGATATATGATATGATATTATATTATGATGATATTATATTATGATATAAAGTAACGCAAAATGTGTCCGAACAAACAATTTATCTAAATTAGACCTAGTGAGAACTAAAATGCAATATTCTCACATTCAAGTAAAAGTAGCAAGTTCATTAGGATTCTATGTACAGATGATGTGAGTTTCACTCGAGAACGGAAGTTTGAGTCCAGACTGACATCAATTCTGATCAGAATCTGTTTGTGTACACAATTCATTCGAAAGCGAATTTGAATCATGTGTAAATTTACTATACTGGCTAGTTTTGCGTGACAGTAAATAACTGATAAATTAATTAGGAAGTGTTTACTATCAAACCACCTTGAATGCAAAGTGATGTGGTTTAAGTTCAAGTATTTTAGTATTAAAAATCAAACGGTAGAAAGCTTTATCAGCACTGTGGTTGATGTATCACGATTTCAACAATATCAATAAGTTTATGCAAGTTCTTTTACTCTTTAAATTGAGATTGTGCATTGTAAACGGCAAAGTTTTCTTCTTTTCTGGAGTAAGAGTTTTTGCTTGGTTAACGCTCTAACCTTTTATGATATTGTTGATAATTATTCATTTAGGAAAAAAGTGTGTTGAGTTTGTAATGTAAAGTGAACAAGACATCCAGTTTCGTACACATAAATATAAGACGATATCCGCTACCTAACCTGTGTTTATGGTTTTTGCTCTGCTCTTTTGTCCACGTGTTGACGGATTAAGATGGCCGTGTAGTGATAAATTAAAAATACGGATTGTCACTACCCCAATTCATACCATGGGTGTTGTAAGAGCCGACTAAGGGCGCAAAACACCGCAAGACAACACAAACAGTAAAACAGACAAAACAGTACTGCAAAAAGAAGGAAAACTTGACACAAACCCTATACCAACCCGTCTGGACAGCGTGGTATAGTAGGCCAAAAGCTCCTTTCTAAGGAGAGGCCTATGTCCAACAGTGGACTATTAAAGGCTGTTGATGTGATGTGCTCTACTCTAAATGGAATTCCAGAGATCGGGGAAATTAACGGTAACACCAAAAAAAACTCCATAGCTATATTATTTTGGTGTAGTGATTAGCAGTAACTTTTGAACATGTTTATCAACTTGATCAAACACCGTACCGTAAATGAATTCAATTCAATAAATCAATTACGTTGTATCAGATGTACTTTTAGCAATTAACAGTGACGGTAACGCATGACAGATGTTACCGAAACGAAAGTCTTGGTAATTAACATCGAAATTCCTTTCGCTATAAATATTGTGTGTACATGTGATTCGGACTGGCCTGTTGGTCTAGTGGTTAGTGACCCTGACTGCTACGCCAGAGGTCGTGGGTTCGATTCCCACCAAGAATAAATAATTGTGTGATGAGCACGGTCATTTCAGACGGACAGAGGACACGGACAGAGCATACTCGTAATATGTATGTATTTAGAAATATATAAGTATGTTTATCAGCAGTCTGGTTACCATAGTACAGGCTCTGCCTAAGTTGGGATCAGAGCGCCGTGTGTGAGATGTGTGTGAAAATATTATGTGTTTTGTATTTTCTTCCTCTTGTTTAGGCAGAATATGTTTTAAATGTATTATTTTTTTGCGTTACCTGAATTTAGCATCCGAACAATAGAAATATTTTGACTTTTCTAGATACTTTTCTAGATTTCTATTTTTACTTGAATAAAAACGCAGTTCATTTAATTAAAACATTGTTTTCCATTAGGCACGTATGTACCATTCTGCCACTCTTTAAGGAACAAGCGCACTTTTATTTCCTTTATTTTACAATAACACACATATAGAAAACATTAATTAAATTCATTTGTATCTATTTACATATTAATATGCTATGTTTACTATCACATTTTCCTGTATTGTTCTTGTTTTTCTATAAACATTTACACACAGTAATGTAGTTTTTTTAAATATTTTGAGTTGTTATTTTTAAGAAATTTGATATAAAATCCCAATTTAAAGGGTTATACTTTCAGGCAATAATCAATTCGAGTGACAGGTGTAAGACACTGGCTTCCTCCAGTTTATGTTCTCATATCCATCAATTCCCAACATTGTCTTCTCTTTTTATCTACCTTTCCTTTTAAAAAGTCCCTATTTTCCATCCTGTCCTTAGTTTCCAATTGACAACCTTGAACTAGCCAACCTGTTACATTAATGTCACCAAAATTATAGCTATCAAAATGTAGGCAATTAAATGTCCCTGCCTCAAGGATAAACTTAATCACTTACCTATTTTACAATATTAGGTGAATTTAAAACATAAATTTAAAGTGGAATTTTTACAAATATCTGCAGAATTTATAATTATTTTAATAGACTAAAATTAAAAGTAACATAAAAATTAATTATGTATGAATTTTGCTTAAAACTTGCTTGTTTTTTAAATTAGTTTTATTTATATGGCAAAGAACTCGATTACATAAGAATTCAAAGAAAGAAGAATCGGAATCAAGCCGCATACCAAATCGAATTCAAAGTTATCTGAAACAACGTGCATCTAAAAAAGACAAATGCGGTTTGTCGATCTTGTTTCCATTTTGGCCATAGCTTTTAGGTTTTATTGTCGATTTTAGAGTGTTAATTACAAAAACAATTGATCGAGTCAATGAAAAATCGATGGGTATATGTTAGGTTTTAGGTTTATGTTTTACAAAATAGTGTGTTAGAATTGAATAAGCAATGATTTTTAACTGTTTAGTGCTATTAATGATACCAAAACTTTTCAGCTAAATGTTTACAAACAACAGCTGTTATTTAATATTAAAACTGTGCGTTAATGAATATGTTATTTGCTTTTTGTAGTTTAACTACTAATTTGGAGAGGCGATCGTTTTGCTTGGATGATTTACCTTGGACCACTTACGCAAGCTCGCTTATGGACGATTCTATTGACATAAAAATACACATACTACGTATATTATTTTTAATCTACTATATTTACAATCTATAGAGATTGTTTTCTTCAACGAAATGATCAAGGTATAATTTAGTACAAAGGTGTTTACTTTTTTAATTTGAGATCGAATCAGATCGTTATCTAGACAATTTTTAGTTCACGTAGTCTTTTTACAAGAACATAATATAATTGCGTACCTAAATACCTCTGCGTTATCGTAATTTGTAATACACTCAATACACAATTAATCTATTACTACTTGAAATGTGGGGTACCACAGGGATCTGCTTAGGGCCCGTATTTGTTTATCCTCGTACAACTGATATTTGAAATAATATTTATTCGTAAAGCTTTCTTCCAAGCAATTGTGTTAGAAAAATCTGTAAATACATAACGTAAGTATTTTTTATAGATAGGAAACTTACCTCTAGCCCAGCCAGTGAGAACATTTCCGAGATATGCCACTTTGTACACCGGGTCAGGATCACTTATACGCACGCTGTTCGTGCGTCGAAGCAGCTTTCCTAAACCCCTCGACAGTCTGCCAATAGCACGTGCCGTGAAGTCCTTGCCGGATACTCCATCTGACAGACACACCTCCGCCGGCAGGATTGACTTTGCCTGGCCGTTCTCCTGTATTTTGTGCGCAATAAGTCTAGGCATTGTAAGCGGCAAAGTTTTCTTCTTTTCTGGAGTGAGAGTTTTTGCTTGGTTGACGCTGTACACGTTACAATTCTTCTTAAAGCTTTGTCCGGTTACATCTTTGGTTTGCTCTGTGTCATCAGTCTTATCGGATTTATCGAACTCAATTGTTTTAATTTGGCCATTCAGGTTATCGTTCAAGTTATTGTTATTGAGATTATCTGCTACTCCGTCACTGTACCGGCGCTCGGAGTTAGAGCGTCTCTTGATTAGAGAAGGATTTCTTAGCATTATGCTAGTTTCACTCGAACTTCGGTTCTTAAGGATGTGTATTTTTTTGACCCGCGTGACTGCGCAATCGACCTCGTCGGCGCTAACCATCCTTTCCGTTTTGCCTTCCTCGTCCAGGAAGCGCACTCTCAGTCCGTTAGATTTACAATCACTTAGCGTTTTTTCCGACTCTTGGAGACGGTCTGATTGATTTTTTGCGCCGGCTTCCAAGCAGTGACGCTCGTTTTCACTCAATGCCCCGCGAGCCATTTTTCTTACAAATACGTTTAAGTTTTTGTCAGCACTATTACATTATGACTTAAGTTTACAACACCAAAATAGAGCCACTAAATTTGAGTTACCCGTTCTCTCCGTCAGCTTAAAGCTGTATTATAGTAAAACCGAACCAGTCACCTCCCTCGATAACAACTAAAACACACAGAGTAGTACACACCTCGTCCATTAAAGAACGACACCGGTTTGGAATGCAGCCTTCTCCACTTACTCAATGCACTTGTCCATTTGTAAAAGAAAACGCTAATGAAACACGCACCACTTAAGGTACGAATTGTTACACTGAATTTTAATATGTTTGTTGTTAGTAAGTTGTTGTGTTTACTACAACGATCGATTACTTTGGAATAATATATCGAATGTATGGTATGAAGCAACGCGGCGCGTGCGCAAGCGTCGGCTCGCAACGGTGGAATGACGGCGAGCGCGGGTCGCGGCGTGCGGAGCGCTCCCAGCGGTCACTTGATCCCAGCTTTGATTTCAATGATCCAACTGCTCTTAGTTACGTTAATACGTCGCAGTCAGCACCTCCTGGAACAATATAATACTGATTATGAACGAAGAGTGTCATGACGCAACTAAGTCTAATGTTGATTTAGAAGACAATATGATATCAATTGAACAGGTGCATCTTATATTTATATTTTGATAATTAATTAAAGCATTACTATTTTCTATGATGTAATGCGGAGCGAATATGGCAGTCATCGCCATGGTATTTACTTGGAGTTTATAGATTTTTTCAATTTTATTTTTGGATTTGAATGTTTTGAAACTTTCTTCGTACTTGTCAATCACTTACCTAAAATTACAAATTGGACTAAGAATTGTCATTTTATATTACATTAACATTTTTTTTTGTAAATCTAATTCCAATTTAAATTGTTTAGAAAAAATTTTGTTTACAATAATTATAAATTATTTTAGACTTATTATTATTTTGATATTAAATGAACCAAATTTTTAATGAAATATGTTCGATATTCGACCACCAAGCGACTAACATGAACATTCATAGAACAAAACATTTTGTGGCGGTTAAGGGACGGTTACGGGCTACAATACGCCGTAAAGAATGATTCATATAACACCATGGCACGGAATACCCCGACAACATGAATCACTAGAGAAATTAAAAGAATACAAAATGAAATAAAGTAGTGAAAAATGACACAACATTAACAAATAATGTTAAAATACTGCAGTGTCAACCACTGAAATAGACAATACTAGGTACAGGGGTACGATACATTTTTGTAGTTATGTGAAATTCTACGAGCCGTCACTGACACCGGGTTGCGGTGAGACGGTATCGGAATCGAACCGTATAAAACAACACGGTGTGCCCGCTATACCCCTACTGTAACGACGTTAGTAGACCCCCAAGTGGCACCTGCCCGACGTATACACCTGATATAGCTTTTGAGAACTATAAACTGTCTATCTTTTTTTCGTCTAAAACTTTAAGTTTCTCTGTTAGTATAAAATCTTAGTTATAATGTTTAAAACTTATGTATTTCTACCAATACATATCTAATATGGAAACCGGTTAGGTGTTCTTTTAACATGTAATATTCATTCCGGATACCGACTGTCATTAATTAGAGGAGTCAAGCCATTCAATCTACTTATAGACGTTGATTTGATACATTTTTGCTAATATGGCTGCACGGATGGCGTAGTGATTTAAGCGGTCGCCACGACACTTACTACGCTGAGTGTTGTGGGTTCGATCCCCACATGGGACGACACTTTGTGTGATCCACAAATTGTTGTTTTGAGTCTGGGTGTTCTTTGTGTCCGTTTCATGTATGTTTGTAAAGTCCCCCGTGACACAGGATAGAAAAGAATAGAATAGAATAGAATAGAATAGAATAGAATAGAATAGAATAGAATAGAATAGAATAGAATAGAATAGAATAGAATAGAATAGAATAGAATAGAATAGAATAGAATAGAATAGAATAGAATAGAATAGAATAGAATAGAATAGAATAGAATAGAATAGAATAGAAAAGAATAGAATAGAATAGAATAGAATAGAATAGAATAGAATAGAATAGAATAGAATAGAATAGAATAGAATAGAATAGAATAGAATAGAATAGAATAGAATAGAATAGAATAGAATAGAATAGAATAGAATAGAATAGAATAGAATAGAATAGAATAGAATAGAATAGAATAGAATAGAATAGAATAGAATAGAATAGAATAGAATAGAATAGAATAGAATAGAATAGAATAGAATAGAATAGAATAGAATAGAATAGAATAGAATAGAATAGAATAGAATAGAATAGAATAGAATAGAATAGAATAGAATAGAATAGAATAGAATAGAATAGAATAGAATAGAATAGAATAGAATAGAATAGAATAGAATAGAATAGAATAGAATAGAATAGAATAGAATAGAATAGAATAGAATAGAATAGAATAGAATAGAATAGAATAGAATAGAATAGAATAGAATAGAATAGAATAGAATAGAATAGAATAGAATAGAATAGAATAGAATAGAATAGAATAGAATAGAATAGAATAGAATAGAATAGAATAGAATAGAATAGAATAGAATAGAATAGAATAGAATAGAATAGAATAGAATAGAATAGAATAGAATAGAATAGAATAGAATAGAATAGAATAGAATAGAATAGAATAGAATAGAATAGAATAGAATAGAATAGAATAGAATAGAATAGAATAGAATAGAATAGAATAGAATAGAATAGAATAGAATAGAATAGAATAGAATAGAATAGAATAGAATAGAATAGAATAGAATAGAATAGAATAGAATAGAATAGAATAGAATAGACAGTGTTTGACAGAACTGACTTCCACTGACATGACACGTCAATGTGCCACGTATACAACTACGTATATCAACTAATATTTGTCAACCTATGTACCATAAAAAACCTTTAATGTTGCTGAGGGGTGTACGCCGTGTTTCAGAAAGTAGGTGGACCCTCAGTTTACACTGTGGTGGACAGATGCCACCTCAGTACTGATTTTCAGTGCCCACCTTTGTTGTCGCTCTGACGCCGAAAGCCGCAATTGCGTGTGACATTGAAATGAAATACTCAGTGTAAACTCTCCCACTTGTGGATCTTTATCGGGGTAAGCTATAATTTTGAATTAATCTACTACTGCATACTAACAATTCCATATTACCTAACCTAATTATGTACTGTCGAATACTTGTACATATTATTATTCTACGTAATAAACTTCGATTGCAGGTCCTTTACATATAGTGACAAATCCAAGAAAATACTCGTCTGTCTACAGTATCATTGGCACATCAATAGCCTGCAACACTAGACTTCCACCGCTAACGGGTTTGTTTAAACATTTGAGGTAAGTAAATTTTTTGTTTTTGTTGATCAAGAAGGTATTTTGTTAAATGAGTTTTAAAAGTGTATATGGTTTTCAGGTTCCTAATTGGCGGCGGTATAGAATTTCAGCATCGCGTAGCTGCATACTTAAAACTGCCACGAAATGCAGCTGCCCTGTGTCCAGGAATACTCAGTGCTCTGGTTGTGGGTCTGATGGAGAAAGAGAAATGATTATGTCTTCAGTCTATTTTTTCATACAAGTATATTGGGGTGTGCTTGTTAACCACTCCGTACAATAAGCTAGCCAGGTGCAGCTTCCTTCTGGACTCCATTTAAATAATGCTGTTTTCATTAATATAAAGTGTTACATGATGGCGTCTAGGGATTCTAAAACAGTAACGAGCGCAGGCATTTTTAACTCTTTGTATAAGATTCTTTGTTCTAGTCAGTAAGCATGGATCGTATACTATGTCACAGTAGTTAAATCTAGATAATACAAGAGTGTCTACAAGTGTTTCCTTAATGGAATGTTAAGGTAGTCTCGGATGTTGTACAGAATTTTTAGTCTATAAAAACAGTTTTTCACAACATTGTTTACATGTGCCTCAAATCACAACTCAGAGTCCATTAGTATTCTTAAATTATTGGCTTCAGCCACCCTTGCAATTCTTTGCCCATTTATGGTAATTGCTGGGTCGGCCTCCGCTACAGTCTGGACTTGCCGCTTACTACCCAAAATCATAAATTTTGATTTTATTGGATTTAAAACTAAGGAGTGGTCTTCGTTAATTCTATCGACCGCCGGTATGGTTTCATTTGATTTAAAGACATATACAATTGAGTGTCATCTGCATACATGTGGTATCTGCAATTTAGGAAGCAATTAGTCATATCAGCTGTGTATAGTATAAATAAAAGTGGCCCTAATATTGAACCTTGCGGAACTCCCCTTGCCACAGAAAGGGGGGATGACGACATAGTTGATCCGTCCTCTTTATGTACTTCTACTTGTTGTGTCCTTCCTGTAAAGTAACTGTGAAACCACTTTATTGCTTGTGAATCAAACCCATAATATGCTAACTTGGACAGCAGTAGGGATGAACCAATGGCATCAAAAGCTCTAGAGTAGTCCAGTAGTGCAAGTATTGTTCCTTCTCCACGGTCCCTAGCTTCCAATATGTTACCCACTACATCACACAAAGCTGTTGCAGTTCCACGACCCCTCCTAAACCCGGACTGTTTGTCTGAAAGGATGCTGTTTTCTTCAAGATATTTGATGACCTGTTCATATACAACTCTTTCTAGCACTTTCGACAAACAGGGAAGCAAGCTTACTGGTCGTAGGTCCCTTGTAGTATTCGGAAGGCTAATCTTAGGTATAGGTCTCACTATAGAGTGCTTCCACATGCTTGGAAATGTATGGGTGATAATAGATATACATACTCCTAATGCCTTTTTATAAAATATAATAGTATATAATAGTTTTTATTAGAATCAAAGTCGAGTGGAGACAATAGTAAATAAGTTACAAGGATCCTCATAATGGCGAGAATTTTAACTAAAAGCATAATGCCCTCATATTGATGTGGGAGGGCACTGCAATTGAGGCACTATGATTATCTGTAGTAC